AATAGGTAAGAAATCGAGCAATTTCAATATGGACCTCCAGCAGTCGCTGGCTCGGTCCCTAATAAGTACAAATCATTTCCAAAATTTACAAAAGTATCCGGTGGTGCGGCCTGTGCTGTCGGCTGCATGCTGTCACTGGGGGCTGGAAATGTGATATGTGTAGACAGACAGAAATAGAGCTACACGCATACACACTATCATGTTTTGCTTGCACACACAATGTGCTCCTGCCTTCTGTGTGTGTGTGTGTGTGTGTAGGTGTAAGGGAGCAGGTCACAGCAGTCATGTTTCTCACCTCTAATCTCTCATCTTGCTATCAGACTGACCTTGTTATGTAACCTAGATCACAGCAGGGCCAACCCCTGCTACACACAAGTACACACAAACATGCACTTGCCTACTGCTGTGTTCATTATTGTTAACTAACTAATATCAGACACTAAACTAGACAGTAAGTGATGTGATGTGCTAGTAAAGAATCCTTAAGACAACTTCTCCACAGTGAGGAATATAGCTTTAAATAGTGTGACTCCTACATTCACATAGATAAGAAGAGGAAATATTTCAGCCTGCTCTCTGTGTTGTATGTGCAGTAACTGCTCAGGCCGCAGGCTGACAGACATCACCAGAGTTTTGTGTGTGTGTATAAGAGGCGACATCAAAGTGGAGTGCCTTTGAACTGTCAGACTTCCTCTACTCATTAATTTATTCATCACTCTGGAGCTCTTCTTCTATCCCCTGCTCTGTCTCTTTCTCCTCCATCCCTCTCTGTCTCACTTCATCACGTCTCTGGTTGTGCTTTCCCTCCCTCTAATCTCATTCGTACAGTCAATCATCTCTCTTCCTTTATTCCTCTGTTTCATCTGTCCCTCACATTTGCTTTGTGTTTTGTCATAGAACACTGCAGCTCTTAAAAACATTATATTATTGATGGTTTCTACAAATGACTTGATAATGAAATTGATTCTGATGTGACATTTGGATCAGATTCCTCATAGAAACGATCTGTCTTACCGATATTATCTTGTTGTGCTTTTGTTGACCATGTTATGTTTTTTGTGTGTACAGGCGTTTAAGCCAGTGGTGGGGAAGAGCCTGTTGTCACCAGTAACCGCAGTGGAATTCCTGTTAGACCGACAGCTGGACTTCCTGTCTGACCAATCAGCCTACCAACCATATCAGGTAATAATCCCACTCACAAAAAAACATGAAACTAAAAGCACTTTACAGTAGTCAGAGCAGAAATCTAGCAGAAATGAGCTCTTTGGCTGTGCTGTGTCACTAAGAGCTATGTTGTCTCTTGGCAGATGTACACATTGTAACTGGACCTCCTTTGCTAATGAAGAATTAGTCATTCACAATTAGTTCTAGGCTGGATACTGCAGTCATGGAGTGCTATTGGCCCTAGATAGTAGAGTAGGGTTGAGCCAGGGTCTTCCATATGGATCTGACACTGCCAGGGTTTAAT